ATTTTCGGGTTATTCGGGTTTTCTCGAATTTTTTTTCCCGGTAAAATCTTTATAGAACAAAATATATAAAATGTGCTCAAAATATTTTTTTAGTCCTAGTAAGATACAACTATATAAAGTATTTTCCAAGAAAATAATACAAAATATGAGATATGTCATGTAATTATCCTAAAATATTCAACAATAAAGACAATAAAATTATGTAATATAAATATTACTAATTAAAAAGTCATATTAAAGTGCTAAGTCATGCTAAAATAAGTAGACAAATAAAGAAATATTAATTACATGATTAAACGCTAAAGAAAAAATAAAAATAGGTTATGCATTTTTATCTAAATTATTGCAAAACAAAAAATAGATATTCAATACATTCTCGTTCGTAGTATTGAATTGAATGTCTTTTGTTAGTATTAGTATTGACTTAATTTTGGTTTGGGCTTTTGTTAGCACTATTTAATTTACTAATGTTTATGGCTACAAAACTTAATAAATTAAATAAGAACATTCAAAAGTTCTAAGTCCAACCTTGAAATAATACCTCAAAAGATAAAATTATGAAATCTTTTAAGAAATATTTATAAATTACATCACAATAAGTATATTTATATATTAAATATATCTAAATTTTCTATATATGTAATGTCGGGTTGGTTTGGTTTCGGTTTGATTTTCTTTAGTTAAAACCAAACCAAATTAATTATGGTCGGATTTTTTTGCAACACCAAATCATAGTCAAATTTTTTTTCTCGATTTGACTCGAATTATCGGATTGGTGCGGTTTGTCGGTTTCCTTTATACACACCTAATCTCTGGTCCACTTTCTTTGCTGCTATTAAATAGTTAGATCTTGACTTAAACTTTGAGCTACAGATTTGTTGTTATTAAATCCAAATTTAGAAAGCTTAAATCGTCACGTTCTACACATTGAAGTGGAAAGAAGAAGCAAAGGCGAGCACAATGATTTCTTCTCATCACTTTGAAATTGGACTATCTAATACTTGTACTTTTAACAAACTTCACTTGTTTAGTTATTTTTTTTTTCTTTCTTTAAGGGAGGAGGATTTGACAATTTAATTTAAAAGGCAAAAATAGTACGGGCTAGTCAATTTTCGAACTGGTCATTCAAAAATAACCAGCGTTTTGAAAAATAGTCACTATTTGCTACAATACGAAAAGTTCACCAGCATAATATACTGGAGATCGGTGCACCTGTGTATGAACTTCCAGCATATTATGCTGGACCGGTATATTATACTGGAACTCCAGGATAATATGCTGAAAGTCCAGTATATTATACTGGAATTCTTGTATATTATGTTGGAGTATTTTCTGAATTTTGAACAGTGTTTTCGTTCAAATTTATCTTTACATGAAAAAATTGTTAAATTTTTATACTTTTAAAATTGTGACTAGTTTTTAATGACCACCCTTAAATCTGACTTTTTTTTAATTTCGACAATCTAAATTTTCGATTTACTGAACTTGAACTATATTACATTACGTGAACCCTTTTGAGATAATTCAAGAATAGTCGAATGGGGCCAGGGTGGATGTACATGTTCTAGGCTAAAAAATGGCCCAAAAATACTTTTAATATTGTCTGCTTTGGATAAAATTCACACGATTTTCACAAAAGACCTCACATCATTAACTGTATTCAAATCTTTATAAGTAGCTTATTTTTCTTTTCTATTTTTCATGTGGGACTTTGTTCATACACTCCCAACAATCTCCCCCTTGAACTAAGTTCTACATGACCCATCACCGTTTATGGGCTAATTTGGATATTAATTGTGTGCCACCCACATGATCCGTGCGTCTTTGAAGCTATGGGTAAAAGTAGTGAACCGGCCCGTAGGTGGGCCACTAAAGGCACTAAGCCGGACCCTACGCCGTCTTATTTCGCCATCTCCATACTCGTCTCGCCAAACCATTGACGTTGATACTATTTATTAGGCTAAAACGGTTCAAAAATACTTTTAATATGGTGTGATATTGTCCGTTTTTGGCCAAGCCCGCACAGTTTTCCTCAAAAGGTCTCACACCATTAAGATTATCTAACTCCGTATAAATAGAATCTTTTTCCTTTCTACTTTTCATGTGAGACTTTGTTCACACACAACCAACGCATGTCACCATTATTCTATATATGCTGCTTGATCGGTCAATCTCATGTTATTGTTATCTCGTGTCTGAAAAGTTATTTATGCTTCTCTAACATCACGCATTGTTTAAGTCATTAGTCATGAGCTCCCTGGACAATAATATACGAGTGACTTCATGTAATTTCCTTATCTTATATTTGCAAATTATATTATATACATGTGAGACGCTTGCTTATGATTAAATGGTATCCAAAATGTATGTATTTTATGATAGCATGTGAGTCAGCTAGAAGGGAGGATCTTAGTTTCTTGTCTTTTTATACCATAAAAGATGAGTTTGTTCACAGCAATGTCTAATTGTTGTTCCCTTGTGACTCACCATCTCTGTCGTTGATGGTTACCCTGATTCTGTAATAGTATTTTCTATAACTCGAATTTCTGGCAGCTTATAATCATTATCAAATTCAGAGCTAGAAGTATCCAAAGCTACAATATCCATTAAAATATCTAACATCATTTGCATAAATAGATTATATTATACAAAGAAAATGGGGAAAAAGTCTATTGGCGTGTTAAGTGACACAGTGACTTTCGGAAAAGAAGTAAATAGACACAACTCTTTAACATGCATGTATGAAAACAAAGAAACCTGAATACATTCAGAGACCACACACGTGCATTCCCATACTTTTATGTCTATAATTTTTGGATTTAATTTATATCTACTAACATTGTAACAAAAAATTTGAACTTATCAATATGACTTATTTTGTTATAGAAAGTTACTTGTCTTAACTTTCAAAAGACTAATTATTTCACTTATTATGAATATTAACTATATTTGAAACGACTAATAGTCAGTGGCGTGGTCAGAAATTCCGTCAAGGATGTTCAAACTTTAAACAAGACAATAATTTTTTTTGTCGATGAATAGTATACAAAGATTTTTAGATTAAACTATGCAACATTTAGCTAAACAATTTTTTTTTTTTTTTTTTG